AATAGATGTGAATTGTAATCCGGCATCCGGTAATTTATTTTTATGGAGTATCTCAGTCTAACTCAGTGTTTGTCAACTATTTTTAAAAATAGTCATCGCTTTCTTTTGCCACATTTATGAGGTTATCAATTGCACACCGCCCACCTAAAGGTACGTGTATTTTTAAGCCGGGCATTAATTAACACACGTCACTTCCCAGGTGATCCCCACCGCCCACCAATACAATGTATTACCCAGTTGTTATTATTTTTCTTTTCTTTTGTCCGTGTCCTTTTTCTGGTACTATGTTAAGGATTTTATTCGTACCAGACAATCATTGATTAAATAAAATGTGAGTGAGTAGGTACAATTATATTTCAATATTAGAATGGATCTGTAAGAGAAATAGTAATAACAATGATTAGGTATGTTCTGTCAGTGTTAGATTATTACATTTATTAGTGTCTTTATCATTCCTAACTTTTGTCGCCTATTCTAACCCCCCCCCCCCCAAACACACAGCGTGCCACATCCCAGTAACATTTCGAAATCGTGCACTATTGCTCGGATCGTATCTCAGACTTTCTGGCAGAATAAGTTTCAGTCTTAGAAAGAGTTTTACGGCACTTGCAACACAACAAGGTAATTTATTATGTGTCGAAGATTGAAGTATTACAAGAGAGTAACAAACACAAAAGAGAAGGAGGAGGGATCAGGGCTATAGATGTTTGATGGGAAAGAAGGAGCAAACCACACCAAAGCATCCGCCAATCACCCGTTGGCAGAATCAAAGACAACTTGGTGTCGAGTGAGAAAATGGGTCATCTTAGACAGGTGGTCTTCTTCGACAGTGTTATTAACATGATATCTGGGAAATATGCGAGTGGGAAATAGGAAATAGTGTTTTTTTTTCTGGTGAATGTTTTGGACATGTATGTGCACGTCTGGGATAGTGCACGTTTGACTGCATTTCCAACATGTCACATTAATTGTGTTTGGCAGTCGTTACCCTAGAATTACAAAGTTCTATCTGCTTAGTACCTTGTTTTGAAAAATTGGACGTATACCAGTTTTGAGTTTCCCAGCGTGTTAAGCTTTTTCGAACACCGTTCTTTGAATATCTTGATGACGACACCCAATATTCTTACGATTTTGATAGTGCAGATAGAACATTCATTGGTTTCTGACCTCATGGTCTTAATAACTCAAAATGGCTAAACATATCAGAGAGAACTTTGTAATTCTGAGGTAGCAAGGTGTGTGCACGTCTGGGTTAGAGCAGGTGTGACTGCATTTCCAACCTGTCGCATTAATAGTGCTCGGCAAATGCGGTGACTTTTACAAAGCGGAGAGTCATAAACTCATCATGCGACCTGTGCGTGCTGTCAGGATATCCCAATCCTCACAGTTATAGATCTAGTGTTTTCATTTTTTCCTTGGCCATGGTCCACAAAGTAGGGGAGGTTAGGGCGCCTCGACATTAGTAGTTAGAGTTAGAGATGAAGAGAAATTCACAATACAGCTCAGCATTATTCCACCTGTCTGAGTCAAACTTTTGGGGACTGGTGTCTTTGCTGAAGCGGTTAAGTGCATCGCTGTCGTGCACAGGAGGCCCGGGTTCGATTATTGAGTGGGGAGACAATTTCTATCTTTCAATTCAGTATCTTGGTCTTTTTTTTGGGATGACGTATCTCTCTCAGCCAGGGTTGGCTCTAACAGGCATGCTCTAAAAAGGGGAGTAAAAACAACTACTTAAAAAACAATTAATTAAAAGGCACTTAGACAAGCATTTTTGGTAGGGTGAAAGTCACGATACAGCTCAGTTTACTAAATCTCTGGGATTTTCGGGAACTTATCATAATTATCTTTACTGCTAGTATACCGTCGAACCTGTTTTAACTACCACCTGCCCGAGACAATCACCTGCACAAACGGCCAGTTCCCACTTCCTTCCCTCTTGAGGTTTCATTTTACTATACGTGTCACGACATGGTGGAATCAGGCCCTCATCAATTTTTGGGCCTATTATGGAGTTATTAGTACTTTACTTTTATCCGCCGCTTATACCCTTTTGGGTGTCGCGGGAAGAAAGACGTCTCTCTGTCGCCAGCCGGAGAGCTTGGGTCAGGGGGGTGCCGTGGGTGGTTAATGTTTCCCTGACTCAATCTATCCAGGTCTTTCTCGGTCGCCCTCTGACCTTGTTGCCGTCGAATTTTTGGATGTAGGCACCTTGTGCTAGATGGGGTGTTGGTAATAGTAGGAGATGTCTGAATCATTTGATTCTTTGCTGTTGGATGTGATGCATGACATCATTTGTGCCCACCATTTCTCGGACTACTGAGTTTCTAATTCAGTCTCGCCTGGTCTTGTTTACTGCTTTTCTAAGGCATCGCGTTTCATATGTTGTAATTCTTTGCTCTAATTTCTTGTTCGTGGTCCATATTTGGCATTGATAGGTGAGTGTTGGTATTAATAAGGTGTTTATCATTTTGAGGTTTTTTTGTCATGGGGGTGTCAGTATGTTTCAGTAGTGGAGTAAGCTGGTAATTAACATTATTGGCCTTTTGTACTCGTGTTTCAATTTCTCTGTTCTGTCGTCCGTCCTCTTTGAATATACTTCCGAGGTACTTAAATTTTAGGACCTGTCTGAGACTGTTGTTGTTGATGTGTATCCTGACTGGTTCTGGCTTTCTGCCGACTTTTATTGTCTCTGTTTTGTTGATGTTGATCTTCATGTCGTAGTTCGTACATTCTTCGTTTAATCTGGTGGTGTGGTGTTGGAGACTTCGTTCATCTTTGTGTTTCAGGCTTTGGTCATCAGCGAAGAGTAATTCATTTAAGGCGTCTGGTTCTGTGTTGGCCTCTTTTGTAATTCTATCCATATATATGATAAATAGTAGTGATGATAGGACACAACCTTGTCTTACTCCATATGTTATCTCGAACTATTCTGGGAGTCCCTCTGACGTTCTTACTGTACGTATGCTGTTCTCGTAAATGGCACGGATGTTATCTAGAAGTTGGCCTCTTACAGTGTAGTTTTCGAGTTTCTTTCCACAGCTTGTTTCTGTTCACTCTGTCGAACGTTTTCTCCTGGTCGATAAATACTATATTTAGTTCCCTGTTGTGTTCTATTCCCCTTTCGCACATTTGTCGTAGGGCAAATATTGCGTCGGTGCATTCCTTTCCCTTTCTAAATCCCATTTGGACATCGCTCAGAAATGGTTCAACTTTGTGTCTCGTTCGCCATTCCAATATCTTGGCGAACATCTTGCCCACATGGCTTTTTTCTTCCAGACTGGTACTATGACCGCCCTTTGCCAGTCGACAGGAACTTTTCTGTCTGTCCATGCTTTCTGGAAGATTTTTGTAAGCCAAGTTATTCCAGTTTCACCACATGCTAGGATGGTCTCTGTGGTGAGCTCATCTATTCCTGCGCTTCTGTTATTAGTACCATCTTAAAACTGGTTCATTTGCATTGCATTTGATACAATTTTAATACTCATCTGTCTTGAATAGAAGTAGGAATATTTGCACTTAAAGGTGGCCCGGAGGGGGGGGGG